AAATTTTTACATTTTTAAAGAGTCAAAATACATACACATGCACAGACACAGAATAATGTGTTCCAGAAAGTTTATGTAGCCTGAAAAGCCTAAACTATTTACTATCGAGCCCTTCACAGAAAAAGTTTGCCCACCTGCAATCTAAAGCAATGCTTTAAGCATCATTTTATGATAGAGTATTCAATAAAAAACCGAACTTGTATAAAAATGTATCACTTTCGGTAAATGTGCTGAAAAAATTTAATTAATTTAAATATGATATTGGGCATTAGGATCTTAAGACTTTCTACTCTGAAATGTTAGTTATTCTTTAAAAAGAGTATTTCTCCAGCCCTGTGCACCAAAGGTTTGCCAGTCTAATTCCTGGTTAGAGCACATACCCACATTACAGGTTCAATGTGCTCTCTCACATCCATGCTTCTCTCTCTCTTTCTCCCTCCCTCCCTCCCTCCCCCCTTCCTCCCTTCCTCTCTCTCCCTTAAATCATTTTTTTTAAAGAGTATTTCTCCAAACATGCCTTTAAAAAGATTCCCATTCCTCATGGTAGACCTACTGGATCAGATTCTCAGGGAAGAAAAAAGGGGATTTGCACTTTAAACAAGCACCTACATTTTTAAGTGAAGTTTTTCTATTTACAATAAAAGGTTTCCAACTAGCATGTGGAACAGTATTATTTTGAGGACCCTATAAATATTTCCAAAACAGTGTGTCCAATGATTTAATTTATCAAATTGATGACCTTCTCTGTTCTATGGGCTACTGGGCATCTGATAACTAGTAAGGGGAGTTTGCAGATTGGAGAAGAGAGAGACAGATAACTAACTGCTCTACAAGGTAGCACGTGTTCAATGCTAAGTTCTATCACCCAGGTATTAGAGCATTATAAAATGATACAAACTCATAGATACAGAGAACATTTCGGTGACCGCCAGATAGGAGGGGGGTTGGAAAGCTGGGTGAAGTTGTACTTCCTATTAAGAAGTACAAATCGTCAGTTATAAAAACAGTCACGGGGATGTAAGTACAGCAGGGGGAATATAATCACTCGGAGTTTTGATGAACGCATCACTGTTTCCTGAGCACCAACCACAGTGCACACTGTAGATGCTCAATACACATTTGATGAATGAATGCATAAGTCCATCGGCAGACCTCATGTCAGACCACCTCTGTGCCGTTCTGAAGACCTGTGCCCTCAACCGGTCTTAGATTCCATGATCCCTAAGTTCTCCTCCAGCTAATGTTGAGATGCTAAGGCAGAGCTTGGCAAACATTTTCTGCAAAGAACCAGATTGTAAATATTTTAGTCTTCGTGGCCCATACCATCTCTGTTGCAACTATTCGTCCTTGCCACGGCAGCAAGAAAGCAGCTGTCAATGTTATGTGCACAGTGGGTATGGCTGTGTCCCAACTAAACTCTATTTATAGACAGGCGGTGGGACGCATTTCGTCTGTGGCCTGTACTTTACCAGCCCTGGTTCTGCACAATAGCACTCTCTCAGGTGGTGGCTGTTTTATCTCCCAAGCTCTTTGTCCCTATTGTCACTTCCAGCCCCATTTCTCCCCTTAAGTCCCTTTTTACCTTAAAATTTTCCTTACACCACTCACTACTGCTCCTTGTTGCCAGTCACCAACAGACGCCTTGAACAATTTAAGCACCTGGTGCAATTGACCGCCTCCCCACAATCTACTCCTATCAAAACTCTCAGTGAGTCCAATTCCATGAACACAGAACTTCCAATACCCTGGCGTTCCATGGCCTTGTCGTCCACCCTGCCTCAGCCACCAACCCCCACGTTTACACCCTAGACACTGTCGTTCTCCACTCGGTAGTCAGAGGGTTTATTTTAAAACACAAAGAAAATCACTCTTCAACTCAAAACTCTGCAATGCTTCCCTCACACTTAGGATGAAATTCAAAGTCCTTACCTCCATCCAGGTAACCTGGTCCTAGTTAACGCTGACTCATCTCCTGCCACTTCCCAGCACTCACATCACTGTACCTGCACTGTCCTCTGTGCTGTTCCTCAGACAAATCTGGCACTCACCTGCCTCAGGGCCTTTGCACCTGCTGTTCCTATGTCTGGAACATTCTTTTCCCAGATTCTGTTTGGATTTCTCAATTCCCTGTGTCTGCTCATATAGCACTATATCAAAGGAGGCCTCCACTGTCCACCTCCTCCAAAATAAAACCTCCCCAACCCCATTACTCCCTAACCCCCACATCCTGCTCATTGTTCTTCAGAGCACTTGACATAACCTGACGTATTTATTTCCTTACATTTCGCTGTTTCAGGAGAGTCAGGACTTTGTCTTATTGTGCTATATCCTCAGCACCAAGACCACAGCGCATGGCCGATGGTAGGTACTCAGTACACGTTTTCTGAAGTGGTCAAACCACATCCTTTCGGAAGCAACTTACCTTCTTTCAGTGCCGCTGCCAGCAAGGAGGCCGCCTGGGGAGGCTCGCCGGGGTCGGGTTTGATGAGGAGGTGGGGCTCCAGGTGGACATCCTCGAATCCACTCAGTTCGCCCAACTCAGCGTAGATATGCAGCTTCTCCTCCAAATACGTACAGATCTGCTGGTCTTGATTACAGAGTAGTTCTATGAAATAGCATTTACCGGAGAAGGTTATCACAGGAACTTAACAGCTATGAAAATCCACGTTACAAGACAAAGAAGTTGCGGATTAGCTAGCAGTGTGACCTAACAGGTAAGATAAGCTTGTTGGGTGGGCCAGATCCAAGTTCAAACCCTAACTGTTCCATTCAGTGACTGCGGCCTCCAGCAAATGACCTACTTCTCTGAGCTTCCAATGTATTTCCTACAAACGGGGTACTCAATAAATGTCCATTTCCTTTCCCAGTCCCCTAATTCCAGAAAAGCTTGCAAAGCTATTCTTTGCTGGGGCTGTTTTCTATTACGACGAAACATTAAGCTGGGGAATGACACTGAGGCGGCTCATCCATAATGAGTGAAACCCACAAGGGAAAGCAATGCAGAGGCTGACACTGCCCAGGCTCCAGCCAGCCTTGGTCAAAACCAAACACAGCGGCTCATGTTTCTATTCCTAAACCTCCAATTTCTTTGACCAACTCTGCATGCATCATTTTCCTCTGATCTCAACATGTCACAGGATTCTTTGAGCTTAAAGGGACCAAACCAGCATCTAATCCAGGGGTACTCCATCTCTCTGCCTCAGAATCACCTGGGAGAGTTTAAAATACTAATGTCTGCACCCCACCTCCGACAGATTCTCCCTGAATTGGTTGAGGGTGGGGCCCAGGCGCCAGGACTTTGAACAACCTACCCGCAGTGATTCTAACGTCCAGCCAGAGATGAGAATCACTGAGTTGACTTAATTTCCGAATTTCACGGACTTGGAAACTGAGGACCAGAGCTCCTGTGTTCCTTAATCACAGTCATTCAACTGTGACCTGACAGTGCTGGGCCTTAAAACTAAACCACTGGACAGCAGTTCTTAGAACCACTGGTGCCACACCACTCACAGTTACTGTTTCATATGTGTCATGTGCAAAAATTTAAAAAATATATTATTTTTTACATTCAATATTATTTTGTATTAGTTTCATGTGTACAGCATAGTGGTTAGACAATCATATACTTTACAAAGTGTTTCCCTGATAATTCCAGTACCACCTAGCACCATACAGAGTTATTACAACATTATTAACTACATTCCCTATGTTGTACTTTACATCCTGGTGACTATTCTATAACTATCAATCTGTACTTTATAATCCCTTCACCTTTTTCACCCAGTCATCCACCTTCCTCCCCTCTGACAACCATCAAAATGTTCTCTGTATCTATAAATCTGTTTCCGTTTTGCTTGTTCATTTATATTTTCCTTTAGATCACACATATAAGTGAAAGCATATGGTATTTGCCTTTTTCTGACTTATTTCACTTAGTACAATGCCCCTCTGGTACAGCCATGCTGTTGTAAATGGAACGATTTCATTATTTTTCATGGCCAAGTTATATTCCATTGTATATATGTACCACAGCTTTTAAAAATATGTGTTCTTCATCACAAAGGAGGAAGTGGGGAGAGATACACCTTATTTAAGCACTCCCAGTGCCAGTTTTTTTGTTTGATTGTTTGAGAGTAGTTAGAGTGGGCCTTGCATGCACAGAATTAGGTTAATCAGTCAGTCATAGCTTCGCATTCATGACCCCTGGGCTTTCTCACCGTCCACGGACACACACAACCAGGGAACCGTAGGTGCCAGCACTGTACCTTGACATTGCTGAATTTTGGCCACTCTTGCTTCAGCTTTCCGCCTCTCTTCATCAGACTCACTTGTCCTCCCCCCTTCTTCTTCTGGGCAACTTTAAAAGACAACAGTCAAGAGAGACAACTCAAACCAAGTCCAAATACCTTTAGGGTCATTAGAAAGACACGGGAGAGGCAGTAGAATCATTCAAAGAAAAAGTCAACATAAAGAGAATTCGACATGCCCCCTGGCCAAGAGATTTGGTTTTCTTGAGCATGTAAAGGACCTTGCGTAATGTAACAGCCCTCAAAGCCAGCAGGGAGTGGGAGTAGGGCGCCAGGTTGGGTGGGGTACAGTGGCAATGAAGGAATTTTATGTAACATCATTCAAGATCTAATGAATCAAACTACCATTAAAAATGATCACCCCCACTCTCCCACCCCCATTTATAAAAACTGCTTGTGCACAATAAGGAGGAGTAAATTGACTTAGAGCACTTAGATCCACTAATCTAAAAACGTTTATTGAATGATTCTTCAGAATTCAGTCCACAGAGAAACATAAGATATGGTCCCTGCCCTCCAGGAGCTTCCAATCTAATAAATAACATATATGCATAGAAAGTGATTATAGCTACAAGGCAGTTTATGACAAGCACCAAATAAATGCTTCAGAGAGCATGTTAAAGAATTTCAGGTAAGAAAGAGCCAATGGAAGCAAAGAGGTGTTCGCGAAGGAGATGGACATGAGCTGCACCAAGATGGGTAGGGTTGCCGCAGGCAGAGGGGAGCATGGGGGCTGCATGCAGGGAGGCTCAGAGGACAGAGCTGCAGATGAGGGCCTATCACAGGCAGGTGCAGGGGAGCAGACCGCTCGGGCTGAGGCAAAGTTTTCATGCAAGGGAGACACAGTTAGAGCATGCTCCCCATTGGACCAGCCACTTCCTAGCGGATGGACAGAAGGAAACGTTACCTCTCGACTGCCTGCTGGATCCGTCTCATCCAGTTATTTCGCTCCTCCTTGGAGTTGGTATGAATCTCATACATCTCAGGGCCAGCAGAAGAAGCGCTGATCAGAAACATTCCTCTCTCCTCATTAGCAACTTCTCGGGCGATAAGCTTCTGAAGGGAAATAACGGATGGCTTCTGATCCTGCGCAAAATAGGAGGACGTGCAGATGAAACAGCATCCCATCCAAAGTGAGGTCTCGCAGAGCACGTTAGCGAAGGAAAGCAACCGTGTTAGGTAAGTCTTAATATCACTTCAATCTTTTCCCAAGAGCTGAGGAAGTTGGCAAGAGCTCCATGGAACAGTTATGGTGAAGACAGGGTGGGAAGAAAAGATACAGGGAAGTGTTTGTCCTCAAGAATTGGTGGTTTAAAAGGACAACTTTTAAAGAAACTAACACATCATTGACCAAAGAGTGCATAAGTAATTGCTAAGCCTCCCTGTGGGGAGGCAGAGCTTCGGATATAAATCCCAACTCCTTTAATTGCTGCAAGTAAATAAAATTACCTTGCAACAAAAAATAAAATAAAATAAAAGGACCACTTTTAAAAAGAGAGGACCATCAGAGCACTAAGAAAAAACATCAAAATGCCATAGTCAGGGGTGGATGAATTTTTCTAGAAAGGCATGGGATAGGAAATAGTATATCAAATATTATGAAGAGATTGAGAGAGATGGAAGACCTAAAGAGTCCCTTGGATTTGGCAGTTAACAACAACACTGTTTCAATAAGGGGACAGATACAGAATCCCAGGTACCAAGGAGTGGAATGCAAACATGACAGGCAAGAATGAGGTAGCCAGGCTTTAGACCCCCCCTTGCATAACCAGTGTCTCCTACACAACTTCCACAGTTCTACCTGCAAATTTCTCTTATTTCCACCAACCAGGGGACCCTTTGGTGGGCAGGAATAGGTCTAATTCATCTTCATGTCTGACACAGTGCTTTGCATGAGCAGGCACTCACTAAATGTCTGTAGAACGAGATTTAGCTTCATTCTATCAGAGGGGAATAGGAAGAAAGTCTACAACTTGGCATCCAATCCATGATTAAGTCACCTCTTCTCCCAACATTTCCTGTGACCACTGTTCCCTCTAAGTCTCAGGAATTTAGAGATGAATGAGATACTGAATATAGTAATGTAGCGAGGCAGCCGTAGCTGGAAGAATAGCCAAAGGAATGCTGCTGAAGTTTTGGGGGTAAATATGAAGACTCTTCCTTGGTTTGTGGCTTCCACCCCTGTTTATAGTGTAGGTCGCAATATGTGGTTTTGCTTCTCCCTCGTGGACTGAGCGACGCCTTTACCAGAACATGCTGCTCATTGCCTCACTGCTGACTCTAGTGCTGGCTTTGCTCTCCCAGCATCCACAGCCCCACCACATCTGAGGTCTGCAGACACACCTCCCTGTAGGCATGGAAGGCCTCTGCCACAGAAGAGGAGGAACCGGAGCTGCCACTGTAGCCCCATGGTTACAATATATCCACTGTGATTCCACAAGGTGTCTGAGTCTATGGGTGAGCAATTCTATTTGTGATTCCACTGTGATAACAAGACCTGAAGGTCACCTCCTCATTTCAACTTGCACATCTACATGGCAAGACAACCTCCTACACTCAGCATTCCAGGATTTAGTGAACACATCTGCTTTTTCCTATTCATTGTATATATTTGAGTCCTACTGCCATTTCCAGCTGAGTCCTCTTTGAAAACAATTATCTTTTAGGGAAGCTATTCCATCCTCTTGCTATTTTTCAGCTGTTTATCTTCTGGCCATTTCCAAATTCATCATGTCTTCTGTAACATGTGGCAAGCATTTACTAAAGAAGTCTAATAGTACAAGAGACAGAGAATCTCACCTGTGGGTATTAGCATGAAGATAACTTTATAAAATACTCATGTGAGAACCAGGAAATACAGATATTTGCATACTCTTAGCCAATGCATCAATTCCCTCAAGATATTTATGACACATGGGCTGTGCCAACTAAATGTATATGATGCAACTAAAAAGCATCTGATTGACAGTAGGGTGCGCTTGACTCTTTAAGGATAATGCTTCCTCTTTTGCTTCCTGACATCAGCAAGGGCTTAGCTGGCAGCTACATGTTAGGCTAACATCTTCAGGAAACGATATCCGCACCATCTCACTGTTGTCCATTGCCAAACACATTTTACCCAGAGGAGCTGAGTTGTGGCTGCCTTCAACCTGGCATTTGGTGGGTTGCATCCCTAAAGTCCCATTTCATGGTAAATGTGGTCTATGGTGGCACAGATAACTCTTCAAGAGGTCAGACAAGAGGGGCAAATCCATACTTCAAGTTATACTATAAGCTAAACATCACAGCTAGTTCTCAATCCATACACTCTGTTGTTCTAGAAACAAAACCGTTGTCCATATGCTGTGTCTAATTCTTTGATCCACCATCAGGTTGTCTGGCTGATAGTACCACCGAGGAGGCAGGATTTGCTTCTCCTTTAGGTCTTTGGTTTTGAGGAACCCTCGTTTCTATAAAGCAGGGGTGTAAATGTGTTTTCTCGCCAACCACAGGTCAAACAGCCCGCTCATTTACTCTGCTTCCTTTCAGAGAACCCGGTAACAGCCAAGAGGAGTTGCTGGACACATCAGTAAGGGGTCATGACATTTGCAATGTATATAATTCAAATAGATCAGGAAACTGGGGATGTGGTTAAGGCCTCTGGTTTTCTGCTGGTGTCGCTTTGGGAGAGCACCTCTGGACTTTATACAACTTGCATACTCTGTGATCAGAGGCAATGTGCTGAACGGTGCAGAAGCCGATTGCCCCAACCTGACAAGCCCCGAGGGGCAGGTGAGGCACTGTTCCAGCCTCTTCTGCCCCAGGACCTCCCACTGGGCAGGCATGCTTCTTGTTTACTCTGAGCAGCATGAGCTTTGAATTTGCCAAAAACAGGTGGAAATGATGGTATCTGCTGATGATACCTGAACATCCTATCAGTCAATGGATGATACCATCATGCTGTCCACCTCGGTCCTGCATCTCAGATTCTTTCCTCTACCAGGGCCTGGTGCTCCATGATGCTGACAAGAAGTTAAATGATGACATCTTCCTTTTCTAAGTGAGTCATTTTGGACCACAAGATGCTGCTTAAGAAATGATATAAAACTCTGGCTTTATTGCTAATCTACTCTGCTGGCAATGAGGTTAACATAGCATACTACAGAGATAACTATTATAGGAACAGCCTCCATCATTAGTAACCATTATAGTAGAAATAACAGGAATCTTTAAACTGGAGATACCAGGATGGTGTTCTCTTGTTGGACAGAAGGAAAGTCATGACAGTTATGAACGGGGTTAGCAACAGGTACACAAGACAGGCAGCAAGGTACCAGAAGTGACCAACATTAACATGTGAGTTTCTCACCAATCAGAAAGGATATATGCACCCATATGTTCATAGCAGCACAATTCACCATAGCTAAGATCTGGAAACAGCCTAAGTGCCCATCAGTAGATGAATGGATTAGAAAACTGTGGTACATCTACACGATGGAATACTATGCTGCTGTAAAAAAGAAGGAACTCTTACAATTTGCAACGGCATGGATGGAGCTGGAGAGCATTATGCTAAGTGAAATAAGCCAGTCAATGAAGGAAAAATACCACATGATCTCACTCATTCATGGATAATAAAGACCATTACAAACTTTTGAACAATAATAGATACAGAGGCAGAGCTGCCTCAAACTGATTGTCAAACTGCAGCGGGAAGGCCAGAGAGGGTTGGGGGGCAGAAGGGAGGGGAGTAAGAGATCAACCGAAGGACTTGTATGCATGCATATAAGCATAACTAATGGACATAAGACACTGGGGGGTAAGGGAGGGCAGGGGATTGTCAAGGGCGGGGGGGAAAAATGACACATGTAATACCCTTTGTAATACTTTTAGCAAAAAAAAAATTAAAATTAAAAAAAAAACACATGTGAGTTTCTGGGAAGCCAAGGGGGTGGGTATTTGGAGGAAAGACCTAGAGAACCAGAGGGCAGAGGGTCACGGCAGGGGGGAGGGAGTTATGGCAGTGCCTGTTCACCAGCCAGTACCAAACTACTGCAATCTTTTCATAATTGAAGAGGTTAATGGGGGGAAACCTGTGTCATAATTTCAACAATAAAGATTAAATATATATATATATGTATATATATTCATAATTGGTTAAACTGCTGAGCCAGCTAACTACTTTTCCTAGCTGTGATAACTCAATGTTCATCATGCTACTTAAATCCAATTAGATGTTTGTTACTAAACACTGTAGTCATTAATTACAATGGGAATATAACAGGGGCATATTCTCACCCATGACTATATAATGTCACCAGGAATGTCAGGAATTTTTCAAGGAGCTGTGGGATTAAACATGCATCACATGGTCATATACTTACAACAGCTGCAAAGATGTATTTCTGGTCTTTTTCTTGTAAAAAGAGCAGCACATCAGTTAGAAGCAGCGCTAGGATATCTTCAAAGAAAAAAGCTCTGTTAGTAACAATGAAGCAAACCACAGTTCAAATGCCGACATTAAATATTTAAAAAAATAAAAAGACTTCGTCTAATTATGAAACTTTGATAAAAATGCCTGCATTCTGATAGCCAACAATATTTTATAGATAACTTAACAGACAAGCTGTGTTTAGGTATGCGTGTTTATGTGTGTCACTATAAGTATTGCTAAATCTCCAGCAAATTTAATGTTGTAACTTTTACAAAGGAGGAAAAATATCTAATTAAACAAAAAGTTTTAATAGAATGGAGCAAGCTCTTTCCTTTATGGGGAAAAACAAGTGCTAATTAAAAATGTTAGAGGGCAGCGTCTGCCTCAAATTATGTATCAAAATCTGCTATTTCGTTCCATCTAAGTCCTATACTTCCCTTACAAATTGTTCACAAGAACCCATCTTCTCTATACCACTGATAGTTCTGACAGAGCTACCAAACTAATGATTCTGCAAAATGGATCAAGAGCAAATGATTGGACACACAGGATCTATAGACAGTGCTTAATATTTTAGTTTGGTTAATGTTCTAATTGTGGTTAATGTTTAGGTGTCACATGGCAAGTTGCTGATCAACAAATCCCATTCCGGTCATTAGTGGCAACCACCAGCAAAACTTGACAATCCTCCAATAGGACTAACAACCTCTCAGTGTTTACCCGAGTGCATTAAAAACAAGGAGAGCAGACCAGAGGTTCTTAACCAGGCTGCGCAGCAGACTCACCTGCAAGCTTTTAAACACCCCTATACTTGAGCTTCACCCCCAGACCAATAAGCTCAGAATTTCTGGGGGGAGATAAGCAGTAGTAAATTTTTTAAGCTCCAGAGGCGATTCTAGCGTGTGGCCAGGGTTGAGAAAGCCTAGATCAGGCAAGATGCTAGCTACAGAATCAGCCCCTGAGAATATGAATAAACTGTTTTAGACTCAGACCAGATTAGTGGAGTCACGTTAATGCTGTTCGTACTGAGGAAGCATCTACAGCAATGTAAACGTGTCTATTTTTGCAGTATGTTACTCAGTACCAAACGTGACATTCAGAGTTCACCCCTCCCCGCCATGGCCTGCTAGTCCTGAGCTGGGTGTGCAGGTGTACCACCCCACTTTAAATCACATTTGCCAGATTAACATTTATGTGCCAACAATTAGCAGAATTCTCAGTTCCTTTGATTCAAACATCACAAACTTGGACAATCATAAGACATACATAAGGGCTTTTGCTTAGAGCTGCAAACTGCCAACTAATGGTTCGTAGCATTGGCCACATTGCCTATGGGTGTTCACAACTTGATCCTACAGGAATTTTCCCACTGACCCAGGGCTTGTGCCTACATTTCTGAACGATTTATCTTTTGAAAATCTGTCCTCTGTTACACGAATATCACGTGTGAAAAAAGGGAGAAATCGGTCTGGGAGTGCCACAGTACCTTTGAAACGGCCCGTAGCAGTTTTCCAAAAAACAAGGCCGTCATGTAATAGAGTCCTCTCTTTGCTGATCAGTGCCTGCTTCCTAAACACATCGCCGTTTTTGAGCTTGGTATATGTTTTGTTTTCGATCTTACTTAGGATCTCGAGCCATTTTTGGTTTTTCTCATATTCGCTGACTTTTAAATCCACTGCTGCAATCATGTCTCTTATTAGGCAAAGAGCTTTGCATAAGTCTTTATGTTCTTCCGTGTTTTCTGCATTGGAAAAAGAAACGTGATACAATAAGCCAGAGAGCTAAGGGAGACAGTGTTTTCCTATACTTTTAAATACAGTTAAATGTATCATCCAAGCAGCAAAAGTCTCTGAACAAAAATGTTGGATTAAATTCAAATACCACATTACCACTGTGCACCCTCCTCCCAAAAGAACCATTAAAATATTTAACTATAAAAGATTTGCGTATCAGATGTGCTTCAGCTGAAACACCGTGAAAATAGGATGTCTGGTTTCTAGAGACTGGTTTGACCTTCCTCCTAGAGCAGGGAATGTCTTATATACAAGGTGGGGCAAACGTAGCCGCAGTTGTGAGAATGCAAAACACAGTGTTTATTCCTGGATTATGATTTATTAATTATTTTCTATATGAACAAGGTGGGGCAAAAGCACCTACAGTTGTGAGTATGCAAAACACAGCATTTATTCTTGGATTGTTATTTATTAATTATTTTCCATCTGAATAACTGTAAACCTACTTTTGCCCCACTGTGTATACTAAGTTAGGCCTTCCTTCTACCTTCCCACACACAGGTAATCAAATTATCCCCACACCAAGCCTCTCAGAACTTAACCAAGCCACAGGCCTAGGTTGAAGTCCTTTTATAAATTAGAGCTTCAAGGTGCCTTGAATGGGCCTTAGACTCAATTGCTTTCTTGGATCCCTTCCTCCATAAAAATAATACTCAAAACTACATTTTACAAGTGCATTAGCAGGAAGATAAATATGTCAATAATACATATTAAACATTTTTTGAACTAAAAAAACTGGACCATGGCACTGTGCCTAGTGGCTCATGCCAACAGAGTAGATGATCACCGAGTCTAGTTGTTATTCTTTAAAACATTGGCCACCTGATCTTATCTCTGGATTATCTTAAGCAAAGACTCTGGAGGAGTTTCTGGATCAGCCTCCTGAAACTCCAGATAAAACCGAGTGTAGCCATTTTCTATATTTGAGGATTTAAAAAACCACCTAGTTGATGTTTATTGAGGCAAAATGAACTGAAGGGAAAAGTTTCAGGAGGTTAGAAGTTGCTAAAAGATGAGAAAAAAAATTGGCAGAGAAAAATCAAAGATTCTCTAGAGCCTAGAGCAGCAGAAATAAACTCGAAGGAACAGCAGTCAAGTGGGATGAGAACAAGGACTCCAAAGATCCTAAATGTTTTGAGTTCTAAATGTGTTAGACACATGAGGATCTGTCAGAAAAGCTCAAGGAAGAGATGCAGACATTCATCTTCAACAAAGAGTCTTTCTCATTGCCCGTGAAAGGACACGCCTCACTATTTTACTACGCCTACTGCCCAATAAGCAGCATACACCCTGCCCCCCACCAAAGTTCTTTCTAAAGAGCATATTTCATCGTAGGAAAGTTGAGTAAAGAAAGTCAATCTTGAGTTACAAGAGGTAAGGCCAAGAAAAGGCTCCAAGTCTTGACCTTCAGGGACAAATTACTATCTTACAATAGCTTGCTACTCAAAGTATAGCAGCATCAGACTCACCTGGGAGTATTGTTAGAAATGCATACCTTGGGTTCTATCTCGGGCTAACTGAATCAGAATCGACATGTAGGCAATCCCCAGGTGAAGGGTAACTCCTAATGAAGTTTGAGAAGCATTGCCATAATAGAGTCATGTGAACCATATTCTCAGTAGCCAGAGAAAGACAGAGACTGACCATTGGGAAGGTCTGACCTAAGGTGAGGAGCCATATGTCATAATTACCATGGTTGACGCACACTAGGGAATCACTATTATTCATTCTTCCAGGAATGTGGCATGGATGATTGTTGGAGCTGACTTAATACAATCTGACAAATGTTAGTCTGTGAGGTATTGTATATATGAACATAATACAAACTAAGTCTTGATTTTGTCTTCATTCTTTTGCTGAAAACAAAATTTATGAGGTTTTTCTCTGTATATTGTGCTTCTATTTTCTTTTATATTATAAGGATCCATAAAAATGGGACACAAGGAATAGATGCTACTCACCTAGACCCCTACTCACCTAGACCCCTTCCCAAAAAAGAATGTCAGAGTTGACTTTTTTAGAGTTGGCATATAAAATCTCATTGGTCTTATGCAGTATCTTAGGACACCATTTTCATTATCTCTAAGTCAACTGATCATAATAAAGAGAATAAAAACAGCTCCCACTTATTGAGCACCTTGTTTATACCAGGCTCTGCACTGGGCACTTTCTGAGACAATCTCACTTGATCCTCACAATTCCATAAGATGAGGATTATTATTCTCACTTGGCAGTGCAGAAAACGGAGGCCCATTTAATTAGCTTGCCCAACTAATGAGCGGCAGAACCAAGTATATGCAATAGCAATGCAAGTTTACATAACTACAAACCCAGCCCATGTTAATACAACACACTAACCCCCAATAATAATAAACTCAAAATTGACAATCTAACATTTGGCACTGGCAATTTTATTTATTCATTCATTGCACTGCTATGTGTTTGTTTATTGATAGGCTACTCTTGACCAACCACTGCACGAGGCATTGAACATCCAGCTGTGAACCAGACAGACATAGGCCTTCTAGATCCCTGTAGGAGCTTACAGTCCAGCCATGTGCATTAATAGCTCCTTAAGGGATACCCAGATGTTACTCTCTGGAACTTAATGAATTAACAGGGTCAAAAATAGCTCCTTCATAAATCATTCTCAATCTAGTAATTCATTGTTTAGGAGAGTTGACATTTGTTGCTAGGATCAATCGCATATGTTTCAACAAACAGCAGGAAGGTAGCAGGAAGATGAGGATGAAGAGGTAGTAAGAAGATCTGGATATGGAAAGACTGCAGAAGAGAAAGGCAGGGTCAAAGTTTGGGCTGCTTGGAGGACTTTAGACTATTGGCCAAGCCACATTATAAAAGGTAACTTTTCAAAATAGATCCAAATCCTAAGGCTTTAACAGTTTTTCCATAATGGCAATCTTTATGAATCAGAGGCCACGAGCATTCATAGGTCTTTACAACACGTCAGGCATGTTTCAAAGTAATGAAAGAGGCAAATGTTTGTCCCAGAAGTCATCACTCACCCTTTGTGTACTGCAATATCCTCTCCACTAACACGGGGTACTTTGTGATGCGCTGAGTGACTAGCAGGATGCATTCTGGAATTCCTCGGCGTCGAGCCAAAAGATTACTATTTCGGAGCTTAAAAAAAGACAGATATATTTTTATATTCACAAACTCTATCCATATTTTCTAAATAGATGTGAATTTAATAATACAGAGAATCTGCAACAGCATACTTCTATTCAGACACAATACAATACACATTATTAATTGAAAATTGATGCATTGTCATTAACTTGTATACTTTGTCATTAATTTCAATAATCCAGCTCTCCAAGATTTCAAGAAGATTTAAGTTGCTCTGATGTATTTGTAATTAATTCCAAATGTGAGTAAATTCCAATACATATAAGTGTTAAGATTCATGAACAGCAAAAGTTTTGAAAAATACTCAGAAATCAAAGTTAGAGTTTGAGTATGAGTTTGACATTAACTATATTTTTCCAACAGGGCGTCCTCTTTCTGTGTTGTTATTCACCATGGAACTTTAAACTTCCCTCTAATCAGGGCAACTTTTTCTAAAAATTTCAGAGTATTCTTTAAGTTTTCAAATTCTCAAATATATGTATATGGGAAGAAAACAAAAGGAGGAGAATCTGATAGAATTTTTTAAATGTTAGATAAAAATTTGGGATCCATGAAATGCTAAAGGACAAATTTCTTTAACAAATAAATTAGATGCAAAAAAAAGGAAAGGGGAACGTTCAAATTAAAAAAAAAGATTAAAAAGATGTAACCCTCATATATAATTGTGAACCTTGGATAGATCCTGATTTAAGCAATTCAATTTTATGAAATAATCAGGAAATCCAAATATTAGCCAGCTGTTGAAAAATATTAAAGAATTATTGTTCATTTATCTAAGCACGATAATGTCTCTGTAATTTTTTAAAAGATTGTATTGTTTAGAGATACATATGAAGTGATGATGAGTCATGGATTTGCTTCAAGCTAATTCAGTGGGAGTGGAAGGATTCTGTCCTTATTTTTACTATGATTCTTCTGATGTTTAACTTGTCAGGGCATGAAAGAGCTTCACAGGATATTGCAAAGGTGCTCATAAGCTTGGAGGACATGACTTCACAAATAACAAGCTACAAAAGAAAATGATTTAGAAGAAATATTCTACTAACATAGAAAAAACGACTTTCCATCTTGGCCACAAACTTATTAGTACTTCCTTCTAAAAGAGCATCTAGATGTGAAACTTAGTGAGGTTACGTAAGAAATAAGCATGAACTATTTTCCCAAACTGGTTTACCACTGTATGATAGAGTTTTAAAATACTTGCCTTAATAAAATTCTGAAACTTTTTATTTTGCTGGAGTTCTTTAAATAGGCTGACAGCTTCTTTGTGATGGCTACAGAATTCTCCATATATTTTCTTCATTGTATTTGCATTTTCTTCTGAAAACTGAGAATAACAGTTTAGTGATGGTTTATAAATTGAGTCAGTTCTGAACACAAAAGGAAAAATGCAATTTTCATATATTTCAATACATTCTTTGCAAATAAAGAATAAAGATCATGGTTTCCAGAGCTCAATGCTGATGAGCATATCCTATCTAATAAGGAGGGAATATGCTAATTGACTGCCATGCCCTCAAAGATGGCAGCACCCACAGCCAAAAGATGGCTGGCAGGGGAGGGCAGTTGTGGGTGATCAGGTCTGCAGGGGAGGGCAGTTGGGGGCAACTGGGCCGGCAAGGGAGGGCAGTTGG